GTTCAAGGAAGGAGGACGACCGTCGAATACTCTGGTTTATAGCCAGGGTTAGTTGTTTTGTGTTATTGTTAATATTGTTTTGTTATTGTCATATTGTTTTGTTACTGTGATATTGTTTTCTTACTGTTACTATTGTTTTCCATTTGTAATATTTTGTTGGATTGTTACTTGTTTTTAATACATTTTATTAATAGCACTATGTACAATCATTACATAATATTAATTACATTACATGATTATTATAATAGTAGAACATGAGTAAAATGAATTAGACAGTTTACAAAAGTTAAGTTTTTGTCAATACATTTTATTAATAACAACTATGTACAATTATTACATAATATTAATTATATTACATGATTATTATAATTAGTAGAACAGACGGAATCGAAGGATGAATCCAAAAAGAAATAGTTAATTATTGTAGAAAGATGTCATTCAATTAATACTGAATGAAATTCACTTCGATCGTCTCCAAAGAGTAATACATGTGGAGGCCTGGACTTTGGAATTGCAGGAATCGGGATCCGTTCGCCAAAACTGCATGTTCATCTGATACTCTTCCCATCGAGCAGCTTACATCTTTAGGACCCCGTATTGCCCTACAATCGCCAGTTACTACCACTATTACTACGTATCAATCGTACCTTCTTATGGTTCTCTCGCGCGAGCTAAATCCATCTCTGTGGAAATAATGCAGTATGTCGCTTTTCTCCGTGTCATCCTCACCACCACACTCTTCGATCAAGTCTTCCATGTCCTGCCATGCAACCCTAGTGCTCGTGCTTGCGCATTTCTTATTACTTCTGATCTTCTTGCACTCGGTGTACACCAGGCGATCCACTTTGTCTTGAGCCGTTTTGAAGGGTAAACAGACATGAGGAAGGCTGCTGGGATCTCCAATGAATTGATCGTCAACCACCTTAAATATTGCTCATGTCTTTAGAACAAATGTGAATGAATTCGTTGCTTCTGAATGCCTACTGCTATCATAGTGTTTTTCTTCTCAGCAGCACATCCCCTGCATCTGTACACCTTGTAAGTCGAATTCGTTCTGAGATGCTCAAACGTATAACAAAGTGGACTTCCTATAGTTGGCTTCAATATCAAAGTTTTTATCATGTATGAGTATCAGACCTGGTACCGAGTATCTCATCACTGCGTGTTTCCCATGTTGACTTTGTTCTACAGAAGCAGGGTATCTGGGAGCGGTCAAGTCATACCCGCAACGGCGACGTTGAGCTCGAGGTGCTGGACCTGGAGCGTTCGCATGGGGAGCCGTGACGGGTGCTCCTGATACTCCTAATACAACATGCAAATCTTTTTAATAAAATTAATAACATTTCAACATAACTTCAATTTAATATTTTCTGACCTGCAGTCTGGTTTTGCAGCAACTGCTGTTGTTGCGATTGCATTTGCTGCAATAATGCAGCATAAGTAAGAAGATTGAGTTGGAAGTTTGGCAGCATTGTTAGGAAATTGTGCTTTGACTTTCAATCCACTTTTATATTAACACATTTGCCACCGTGACGGGTCATCATGTACCTTGTGGCAACATATAGTGGAGGGGTATTCACACTTTGTTCGTCACACCTCACGTTCAACTTCACACCTTTATCTGGTTCACTCGCGTTCTGAGAGTTCCATGCCCTTGGAATAACACGAGTCCAGTAAACATTTATTGATTCAAGTATAGAAATTGACAGGCAAACTTTATTATGTTCGGTTTTTAGTGATACACGTTCAAATTCTCAGTTGCAAATTACAGTTATCAATTACAACATGAGCTATTACAACATGAG